TTACCAACATCTATTTCTACTCTTACCCATATCAGTGCATTTTAATGGCTGTCTTCTCGCTCTCAAGGTGTTTAATACATTTCCCCTTCCATTGTATTGCAGCTAAAATATGACCTGCTGTTGTTTAAATAATGTAATTTAATGATTTCACATTTTCAGCTATGCAAGGCTTCCTTTCAGCACTGAAGCCTTTCGCTAATGATTTGGGGAGATAGTTTGTTCTCATTTCTTTTGGAACTCAAGACTGAGAAACTCTTGCTTGGAAATAAATTATTGACATCCACTTTAAGAACAGTCCAATGCATAATGGAAATAAAATACATAAACTTTTTGTGCCAGGAGGCTAGAATCTCCAACTTGTTGATTTCTTCCAGGGTTCAACTGTCATTCAAGCTCTGTATCAGTGGAGATATCTAAAAACACCCGTATGCCACTGCTATATGACATAATATATTTGGGCCTGTCCTTTACAGAGAGACTACCAAATTGTTATCCACGGTGCGTTAGTGGCCAACAGTGAGTTGGTAAGTGACACCATGGCAGTTTCTTCCCATTTTGAACATGTATACTATGCTAAAAGGATAACTGAAACACATTAACTTTTTAGATGAAACTGCTTTGGCTGTCACGGACAAGCGAACAAAATGAAAGGACAGCCTTTAGCAACTCCTCAGCACTGGAATACTTTCCCGTTTCTCAGTGATTTCAACATGAAATCAACAGGACTAAAAGATACATTAAGAAAACAAGACAGAACAAACTCAGCCCCCCCAAAATATATCTTTCTGTTCAGATATACAGAAATATTACATTGAGATACAAAAATCAGATGGGCTTAAGGAGTCAATGTCTTTCCATGAATATCAGCTCTCAGGCTTTACTGAATACTCTGAGATTAAACACTACTAGTCCCTCGGAGAGACTCTTGACAAGGATAACTAAAATTAAAAAAAGAACACATTCCCTCCCCAAAACCTAGAGAAATCTGACCTGGCAAAGGAGATGCAGAAACTGAAACTATTCAGCCCAGAGAAAAGTTTCCTGAAGACGGAAAGTTGAATATTGATGAACACCAGTTTGGATGACAAGAGGAAAGCTGGCAGACTGTTTTCCGCAGTAAGTCAGGAGGGACAGGCCAAGAAGCAATGGAATAAAAGCAACAGACTGGCAACACATTGTCTTGTAGAGTACTTGCCTCTCTTTTTCCCCTCTCACAGCCTCACCATTGGCATCGTGACACCTCCAGACTTCTTGCTGGTTAGGAAAGCGCAGCTGTGTTCCAGCTGTAATTCTAAGAAATGGTGAGGCGAAAACAGGTGCGTAAATTTCTTGGGACAACAGCTTTCTTGGGTGGTTTTTAAACTCTTACCTTCAGTGCTTTTAGTGGATTACAGTAAAAAGTTATGGTTGTTGATTTTATTGTTTTCTTCAAAGAACTGTTGATGGGAAGCCAAAATTACATAGGTGAATCTGTGTTATGTTTCGGGATTTCTGTTTACTCTAAAGCAGATGGCTTTATTCTGCCACCAACCCTCTGGCATCTCAGTGAATTATGTTCTTTGCATATGCCTAATGCAGGTGAGGGAAAACACATTTTTGTAAGTTTCACAGCAAGAATTTACACACCTTCCTTCCTTCTGTTCACACGCATTTGACTTATTTGCTCAGGGAACAGACATGGTATAGCAGTGTGTATGGAAAATGACATTGTGTAATGAACAGAAAAGATTACGTATGTATCAAGTATGTATCAAGAAAAATAGTTTTGAAAGAGGCTTAGTCTAAACCTCTTTTCACTTACAGCAACAAAATTCCTATGGACTTAGTGGTGGATCCGGACCATGAAGTAACTGAACAATTTAACACAAACACATTTGGAAAAAAACCCCAGAAATCTTATTTAAAAGTAACTGACAACTGAAGAATAGGTAATTTCACTGAATAAGTTATATTGTGTGAGTAATTTCCATATTATTAATCGCTCCACTTTACCAGTGTCTTGAATTTTTAAAGAAACTCTAGTTTTTGCATTCTAATACTTCACATGTCTCCTCTGTGATTCCTATCACTGAATGCTCTTTTGTCTTTCCACAAGCAAGGGTTTTCATTGTTTTATCCACTCACCCTGAGGTCTCATACTTATCACCCTGAACCAGACCTGAAAGTCCCTAAGAAGAAAATCAGTTAAACATATATGTGAATCAGTCAAAATTTAGTAGGATTACTCCCTTCGATCAATGTTTAGTACGAATTCAAGTACTCTGTTGGATCAGAACTTTTCTGAATTCATACATTATTCAAAAAGTCTTCAGGGTGTCTTTTGTGTTACCTAGCTGGGGTAGTATGTGACAAGAGGTTTAGAAGTTTACTGATGAGAGAAGAAAAAGAAGACAGGAGAAGAGACAGCTCACAGGAGCTGTGGCTATCTGTGCAGGACTGCACTGGAAACTCCGGGACAGCAGACGTACAACAAGCAGCAGTAGTAAGATAGATTAGAAAACAGCATAAAAACATGTCCATCAGTCATCTAGGTTGACCATGCCCCAGTGGGGTTTAAGAGAGATGGAAGTTGATGAATATGGTCTGATTTCACCAAAAGGGCAGGAATTACCAAACCTGTATTGAAGCATGGGTTTCTATGAGCATACCCATAAAAGTGCTGGCTACAAAACAGAACGCACATTCTACGATTATCTTTCAAATAACCACAAACAGGGACCAGAAGTCAATCAAGTGCAGTGGAACCAATGATACCACATAGCTAAAGATGTTCTCTAGAAACACAACACTCTCACCTGACTGCTATCTTCATTCCTGCATGCACTGGGTAGTGGGCTATGTAGGAAGCAACAGCAGCTCACAACTGTGATTTAGGGCTCTTAAGAGCTATCTCGGCCAAGTCACTTTGTTTCCTTGTGTATCAGTTTCACTTCCAAAGAATGAGGGCAGGGGCACTTACTTAGCGGATCAGGAGGGAAGGGTAGAGGAGAGGACAAACAGCAATGCAACTAAGTGAATTGACAGGTTCTGTTCCTTCCAGCTACTTTACGGAAGACATGATTTCATCCATAGACAGGGAACTGCACCTGATGCTCCAGCAAGTCCCTGTTTGATCCCATGCTTCTATCTACCAGTAAAGATTATAGAGGAAACCTTTTCATCTGGTAAGGTCATTGCTTGCAAAATTTATTTGGCAGCAGAGTTACACCTTTTAGCCAGCAATTAGACACCCATGACTAAACTGAAGAGCAAAGGTTGCCCGGCTTAGTCCCTACCCTCCAGCTTTGCAACACGGGGTGCATAAATGACGTAAGAACTGCACCAGCTTATGTTTATTTATAATACTACATACCCAGCAACTGCAACCTGGAGCACTCCAGAGTGGAAGGATACATTTTTATAATGCCTGTTTCTTCATTAAGATTTCATCATCTACCTACGCTAAAAAGCCACTTCCCCTTCACTTTGTTCTATCTGCTCCTGTTCCTGCATTATTTTTTTAATCTCCAGTTCCCTACTTTACATGCACTCTCAAATTTTAAACAAGCAAAATTTGTGCATTAGTGTGTCCTTTTCATCTATGATTTATGAATGACAGGTTCTTCGGTGCAGCTTAATAGTAGGAGAGAGACATTATTTTAAACATTAAAATGAAAACCATTTACAACTATGATAAGAGAGGTCTGTTGACATTAAACTTTAAAACATGCACAAGGTAAAGGCAAGTAGCTGCTTCAACAGGTGAGAGTACTATGCACGCAGTTTGTAAGGGAGTTTGTTCAACACATGAGCTGTCTCTTCCTTTTCTCTGTTTCATAACCTGTAGGATTTGGTGCTTCAAACAATTCATCTGGTAATCAGCAGCCAGAATTTAATAACTAAAATGTACTTCGGGTGCAGTGCAGAGCATTCATTCAAAAAAATTACCATTCTGTTTGAGGAAACTTTTCCTACCATTCACATCAGCGAGAAATAAAAATAAATAAATAAATAAAGTGAAAGAGCTAAAGCTTTATTTTGATACTTCCTGCTCACACCTTTATCACTTTCGCACTGGACAATCATTTCCTTACCATCCTTTTCCATTAAAGCTGTCTAATTCTATTGTAAGATATCAGCTTATACCCATCTTACTACACTTTGTTCAGTTGTGTTCAGCCGCAACTGCTTTCTGAGAAGCAATCGACAAAATTAGGAGTAGTAAATAAATACATCTTTACTTCATATCATATGTTTTTGGATTGAGTACTGTTTCTAACAGTGTTAAGACACATTGGTTGAACAGCAGAGAATACTACAGAAGAACAGTGATCTTGCAGAACTGCTTTTCAGTCTAATTTTATACCACAGGGAGAATGCAGCAGATATCTTCAGGTAGAATTGTTGCAAACTTGGTAAAGCTTAGACAATGGTGAAGATACATACAGAGATGAGCTTTTTGCTTGTGACTTTGGAGTCCTTTAAATCTCTTAACAGCTTGGATGAGGATAGCAGAACCTTATTGATAAAGCAGACCTCCCACAATAAGTATGAGAACGTGTATCTGGGGCACTGATGTCAGCTGAGAAAACCAATTTTATAATAGAAGGGTTTTTTTAGAAGTGATTTTCATGCAATACTGTGGTTTTAGTTGCCCCTATTCATTCAGCTACCCTCATCAGCAATGGTGAAACAGAATCCTTGTCTTCATGCTGCCGTTTGAAATTTTACATGAACTGTGAGTAGGGAACATTGATCACTGATGACAGAAAAGCCTAATGAATCATAAAAGTACTCTACATTACTGACGCACAGAATCCAAGACCCAACCTCCAATCTGTTTTCATAAAAATGCAAATATCCCTTAGTTATCTCCCAAGTATTAAAAAACAGTCCAAGTATTAACTTTCAATAGGCATCAAGAGCAACATTTCATTGAAGAAAGAGATCACTCCATTTAAAAGAGAAAGTGAAACAAACAGCCAAAAGAACCTATTAGAAAAATGCTAAACATGACTTACCTTGTAGATTTTGCAATGGCAAAGTCATGATGCCTCCTGCTGCAGCTGCTGCTACCAGCCCTTGGATGTTGGTGAGATTCGCTGTAGGCAGAGTTAGGACAAGTCCTTGTTGGCCCCCCAGCTGCCCAGCCATGTTGAAAGGAATAAGGATCGGCTGATTCAGGGCTGGAGTGCCTCCTGGCATCACCCCTGCTACTGCTGAGGCTAACTGCTGGGCTGTCAGTAATGGCTGTAACAAAACACAGAGACACCAAGCCTATTTTCCTGTGCATAGCTAGGTATTACACTTATAACTCTTCTGGCTTGGGATCTTTCATGTTGCACTATAGACATACGCTGCTTCCAACATCTTGAAGCATACATTTTCACCAACATAGAAAGTTTGGACAAACTTGACAGGCTGAAGCTGTAAGCCTCACAGTCATGTAGCATGGTAGCAATCCCAGTTGAATCCATTCTGAAAAATTCATTACACATGCACTAAACAATTTACAAACACAAGAAGGCCTAACTCAAGTTAGACTACGAGTACCTAAATGTAAACATTTCCCAAATTTTCCCAGTTGTATACTGATTGGTAAAAGTGGAAAACACCACAGTAACAATTAACAGAAGCTATGTAGACCAAGACTGATCTGGGGAGTGGAAGAACATTGAGTATCTTCTTCGAGTATGGCTGAACTTGGATAAAATTGTGAAGTGATATGGAAAATCATTTAAAATGTTATACAGTGCCACACTATTATGCCTACATGTTGCTATCAAGAAAATAAATACCTGGCATAAAAGATAATGAAATGCCTTTACTAATGCAGGAGCTGTGTGTGACAGGCAGAACTGTCAGAACCAGTAAGGCTGCATTAAAATTGTACAAGCTTTTTAATATTAAATTATGACATGTGTTTAAAAATAACTTCTGTAACAAATTAAAATAATTTAACCTCCTAAATATGAAAAACTTCTTAGGTTTTATTTTAGAAAAAACATACAAAAAGCTTATTCTTTTGGAAACAAATAACTTTTCAAACACACATGATACATACATGCTCCTTTTTTTAACACTAAATGCAGCCAAACAGAATCACATTTCCTGCATTGCACAGATCAAAGATGATCACAGTTATTTACCTCTCACCAAATTGCACATCTCGATTAGTCAAAAGGAAAGATACTGACCTGAGGCCCAACAGGGAATGCAGGATGGGACTGACTGGGTTGGTGCTGGTCTGCTGGGCTCGTGTCAGGCAGCACTGTGTTTCCTCTGGCCTCTGCAATCCAAAGAGCAGACTGACTTTAATATCCAGCCTGGGGACTGCCACATTACCTTCTACTCTGATGTCACATAACATCAAGCTGAAAATGATCTGTTAAAGTGCTTTATCAATAACTCAAGCACTCAAATCACTTATCAGCTGCATAAATTATGCTAACATTCATTCAGACCAGCCAACTCATTCAAGGAGCTACAAAAATCTGACAGCAGTGAAACTGAAGCTATCATCAACCCAGCTAATGTGGGTTGCATTATACATCAATTTACATACAGTACATGAGCACTCTGCGTGTGTGGGAACTGCATTTTTTATGCTTAGGTGAGCATCAGCCATTCTAATTTCTGAAAGCAAAAATTATCTGAAAAACAATCAAGTCACATCTACTTTGTATCTTAATAAAGTATTTTCTTTTGTCAGTTACTGAGGTAGCAAAGGCTGTGCTATGCGCAATAAAAAGGCACTATGAAAACTGAGAGCAGGTATGCTTCCAAATGACAGCTGGTTTTCTAAATTGCATGTGGGGATGAGCAAAATTTTGTGAAACCTAGGACTTCCAGCATTTATTGAGATGATCAACATCCAACAGTCGAACTATTTACTGAGCATTAATGACTTGCTAAGCACAGAACACGGTCCAGCCCTACTGGGTTCCGCTGAAGTCTGCAGTACAGATCTGAAGAGGAAAAAGAGGAAGAAAAAAGTCCTATCAGTTGTAAGAAAGTACTAAGATGTTTTCAAAACTCTGTCCCAGCCCTCCATGTCTTCTGGGTGAAGGGCTCTCACTGATTCACAAAGTTTTTCAGCGCTGCTGGCACAATCAGGCCCGCATTTATCTTTGAAGCTGAAAGAATGACAGCAAGTATCAACAGTAGCTGCAAGAGCACTGTGGCCCCTTAAAAAAACACCAACCCTGGCAATGGCGTCAAGTTTGCTGGTTGGTACGATAGCTCCCGTTCTGTTGGGTTTTTCCACTGGACGGTTGAAATCCCGTTCTAAATAAACCTTAATGAGATGCTCTTTTCCAATGTTTGTCCTATGAATAGCAAGTGCAAGATAATTCAGAACCAGTTTATTGCCACACTGGTGTGGTAAGGAAAAAGGATACCATTCTGTCATAGTTATAAATTTTAAAGAGGGTATTATCAGCTCATTTAGAACAAATTCCTCTATATATTCTCCAAGGGGACAGACTTATAAATAATGGAAATGTGAAAAAAAAAATACTTCAGCACATTAAGGTACAAATAAAATTGACTGCTACATATTATTCAATTGACTTCTATCTCTACAGCAAGGTGTCAATCTTAACAGCATTTTATAATAGGATTAAACAATAAATGTGAAGAGTTATGCAGAAATCTGAAAATCTGATTAATTTGTAATATTTTTTGTGGTCTCAGAAAGTCAGAAATGGACATTGCTTTGGGAATACTTACAAACGGTCTATTGAAATATCTGATTTGGAACTAATAAAAACATACAGACTTGCTGACATTTTATAAAGTGAATTCTATAAAAATATGTTTGGCATTTTAATGACCACTGTCATTTAATAACGAGAATGAAATGACCTACTCTAATTGGTGAGGACTCTAACAATAGCATATTAACATGCAAAAGAGATCCAGTCACTAAATTTTTTATGTGCAATCTACTCATCCGAGTTACTTGAAAGAAATGTAACTAGATATGCAGGATTTAGTGAAAACCGCTTCTTTCAAATGCATTACAATCCTAGTGCTGCTGCCATTCCTAAGACCAAAGATAGGTCGTCTTCAGTATGGGTTCCTCCTGTACAAAATAAAGTGCTATGTTACTAAACACAGTATTACCTCTGGTAATTTCCCAATATTGTTATGGGTTTTTTTTTAATCTTCTCATCACAGCCGTACGTATAAAGTGATATTAGATCAAAGGCTCAATACCAATGAATATATCACTCCCTATTAACATCAAATCTTGTACGACTTTTTTTTAATGTAATTTTAAGGGCTGAGAATTTTGTCTTTGTGTGTGATTTAATTAATATTAAAACAAGCTCCTGGTAATCTCTCACTTCATTAAATTGTCCTACGAAAGCTTTGGAAGAAGAACAAAACTGGAGTCAAATATTCACTAGAATTAGATTTTATTGCAATTACCATAGCTTGAGTTTTCAGAAAATAAATAAGAACTTCTGAAGAAATATTCCTGTACTTCAGTATTTTTTTTATGGTGCAGCTATCCCAAGAATCTGTTTTCTGTTATCTGTACCCGAAGGATTTTGCAATATTTCATCTCACAAGTTGTACGTAGTACAAGTGGGTTATACAGGACCATAAGCCAAAATTAATTACACTCCTTTCCTTTTGCATTGCACTAATTGGAAACACTTAGGATTATGTTCCTTTCATACAGCTGCTCATCGTAGATGACGTATCTTTTTATTTCAGTGCTTGAACACTCTACCTGCTGCCTCTAGCTCACTTTCCATAAGATGCAGGCATCTCAGCAAAACAGCACACACTTTCACATGCATGAACGCGGTCTTACACGGCACCCTACATGAAACTACGCATGCTGCATTCTCAGACCAAAATTCTCACGTTTCCTCTCATGCCCCTTCTATCCACCCGCTGTAACAGGCACTCAAGAGTCACTTTTTTTTTTTTTTTGAAACACGGAGGAAATTCTGCCTGCTGGGCTGGCAGAAACACAGTGACGCGAGGATTTCAGGGTGAAATTCTGTTGCATCACACACAGCGACAGCATTTGTTCCTTGCTGTACGCTGTCTCCAGCCAGACGCATAGGTCAGAGCTCCCAGGAAGATGAAGCAGAACACAAAACGCTGGTAGAAGGCTACTCTTCCTTTTCTGCCTTGTAGTGTTGACCGGGTGGATTCCTCTCATTTCAGAGGACCTGAGGAGCTGGGGGAGCTGTGTCACAGCTGCTATTTCTGATTCACAGTCTCATTGATACTAATTTGGCAAAAAACCTTCATTAAGTTCGTTGCCCTAAACTGGCAGTGCACAATCCCCTGCACTGTTTTCCCCCTCTGTTTTACCACCCATATTTGGGACTTCATTAGTTCCAGATGCTGGAATGACCTCTGCAGGTAAATTATTCCCCTGTCCAAATTCCAGTCCTCAATAAATAAAAACGGCCTGCCAAAATCTAGCTTAGATTTTCCACTTGTCCAGATCCAGGCCAATACCTCCTGTCAGGCTATCCTCTGATGCTGCTCAGCCTTCTATCTGTGAGGGGTATATCAGCACGGAACCAGGACTCACAGCAGTCCCTATGGAGCCGGGGAGCTACCAGTAGCACCTTCTCTGTTCTCAACTACGCCTTGCAGAGATTGTATTCTCATTGCACCTCCAACTGCTGGCGCACAAGGGGCAGGGAGAAGGCAGTAACAAAGCAGCTACTCTGGAAAGAGAAGTAATTCTCCTTAACACCATGTGCCTAGGCAGGGAGTTAAGACTTCTCTTACAGCTGAGCACTGCCATCACAGCCTAAGTCAATGAGTTTACTCAGTAGTATCATACGAAAGGACAGGAGTGCTACTGCCATGGTATGGCCATGACTGTAGACAAGGCTTTAATATTTGATAAGCAGTATTCATCATATGTGATTCATCATAAATTAATTATAAATTATATAATACATACACTCACCTCTCATCCCGTCAAGGGGCTGGAAGGGCATGACACAATAAAAAATTGAAGTGCACTGTAAACATTGTAAAATAACCCTCTTAAAACAAAGTATTATTTAAAATAAAGGCAGGTAAAATAAAGACAACCTTCTTCTCCCCTTATCAAAAAGAAAAAAAAATCCCCCAAACCAAGCGAAAAACCTTGTTGAACAACACCTGGTTTAAAACTGAGAAAAACCACAAGAGAAACATCAGAAGGAAAAAAACCTCCACATCCCAAGGCCTCCGAGCCTCATACAAAATTACAACTGTAAACGCACAAGTTATAAACAGGCTTTCCACAGTTTGCTCCCTTTTCATTTCTTACTTATCTTCAGCAACACCATAAGTAATTCAGTTCTAAATGTCTTCACCTCCCAGTGCCCCACGACGGAGGGAATGCTCTAATTCTTACTTGACAAATGAGCAACTAATGGACAGAGGGCCTCGGGTTCCGGATTCTCATATCAGCCCCATTTAGGCACCTAGATCTCTTCAGCTGTAGTTACACTGTTCAGGAAAGCATGGATCAAAACACAAAACTGCTCTGTGGCTTCTTGGCTGCTCCCGGGCTACCAGCAGCTCTAGCAAGGCAAATCTGCATGCCCTCCCCAGCACCCTGCGCTTGGATGCACTGCCCATCCCAGCCTCCGTCTCACTTGATGTCCGACGCTTGCAGAGAACCCCACAGCTGACTGGCACGTGTGACTACACTGAAGAGCATTAAGGGATAGATGATGGAGTGCACTAAACATGTACATCCGGCTCTGTTCTGGACCTCCTTGGATCATCTGCAGATGTGTGCTTGTGCCTGCTCAAGGCACAATGCACACTGGCGTCTCCTCTCAAGCTCTGCACCAAAGCTTACTCAAACCCAACGCTCAAACCACAGCATAGGAATAGCCTCAGCAGATGATCTGGACATAAATAACATCCTGACGGTCTTCAAGAATCAATTCAATGTGTCTTACATTTGTATCAGAACCAGGGAGATGCTGGGCCACCTCTCTTTAGTACTCAATGCTTAAAAAAAAAAAGCACGATTACATTTAATAATGCTGGATTTTCAGTAATCAAAAGAATATGTAAATCCTTCTGAGATACCCATTTAAGCAAATATTTTAAATGAATCAACATTAATAAAAGAACACAGCATTTCAAGCAACCCTCAAATAATTACACAATGTGACATTAAATTACTTGTATTTATCTCTCAGTAACTAACAATAAGAAATCAAGAGTAGACTTTTTTCTTCGTCATTGAGCCAACTCACACTGAAGATACAGCTTTAAGAATGAAATCGTTAAAGTGAAAGT